CACCATAGTTTGAAGATGTTGATAGTCCTCATATGTTAAACCTAATTCCTTAGCTAGCTTGTTATCTCTTCTTTTATGGGTAACATTGAGGGCTAACTTACGCCCAAATAAATTCGTGTCTTTAACCCAGTCAAATTTGTTTGTAATGGGAGAAGGGACAAACGACAGACCTTTTTTAAGCAGAGATTTATGTTTTTCTTCTAAGTTAAAATTAGATAGATTAATGATAAGGTTCTCCTCTGTGATTTTATAGTTTATTGAGTCGTGTACCCTTCTTTGTTCATTTTGTAACCCCATCTTTTTCTGTCTCGAAGTTTGCCTCTCTGAGGCTGAGGCCACTCCTGATCTAAAAAAGATGCCCCTACAGATGAAGATGTAGATGGAATTGATAGATTAGTAGTAATACTAGATGGATTAGTATATTGAGTTTCCGGAAAGGACACATTTCTCTCAACTGGTTTCAAAATACTCTTTCTTCCCTGTTGGGTATTATTTATAATGTTGGAACTTTTCCTTCGTGGGCTAAAGTCAGAACCTGACCAATCAGTCTCACCAGATGTAATGGAGTTGTGTCTACTATTAAATCTTTTCCTATTTTTGTTTCTCTGTCTAAAAATGATTCCTTCCTTAAAGTCCTTGTAGTCTCGTTGAAACTTGAGATGTTTTTTTTCCCTAATGTGTTTTGTAAAAACTTCCAAATTGTTATTCAATTTGGTTTCCATTAGTTTGAAATCAGTATGAGTTTGGAAAGTTTTTATTTTGTTAATCTCAATCTGAAGATTCTGGTTCACCATTTCCAAATGTGATTCCTCTAATTTAATGAGGAATTCCATAAGTTTTATAGAGCTGTCTATTAAAATGTTGTTCCATTCACTAATTTGTATATCGGTTTTCACTTTTTCTGGTCTTGGGATATCTTATCTAAGTCCTCTAGGGACTAATTTATCTTCTACATACTTTCGTAAGGTAGTAATTTCCCAATGAACCTTCCTATTACTATTGGGTGAATTCAAATTCAATTACAAATCTCTTTCTGTAAATTGTGGCCCCAGTGCTATATTACACATATATTAATGAGGCTATATCAGAATTACATGATGTCCAATTTTCACCTTTTTATCCCCGAGGGGGTTAAATGGATTCAAGATCAGCGCTCGGATGTTTTAGATACACCGAGTTACGTTACATCCCAGCCTCTTTCTGATTGGTTAACAATGGGATGACTCTTTTCAAACTGACCAATAAGAACTGTCTACTTACCTTCATATATCGGTTCTCTTCCCGCACATCAGTTCCCCTCTGATGAGCTGCGGGCGAAACGCGCGCGTCAGGGGTTAGGGGGCTCTTTAGGGATCCTTAGATGAGAATTATATTGGCTTATGCCAAGACCAGAACGTATAAAATCATTTATTTATTTTTGGCACAGCCTGAGGGATCCCTGAGCCCCACTCCGATCTCAACATTGGGGGGTCTTTATGTGGACCGGACACTTTATTTATTTATTTATTTAGTTTGGCGTTATTTCTTTTTCCCCCCTACCTTGCTTTTTGTTGTAGTAGGAGTTTTTCTTCTCCAGTGCAGATATATGACTCTTTCTTTTTAAAAGCACTGTGAATGGTAGAAATATATTATAGTGCTAGATATAGATTTTTAGCTAGCACTATTTATACACATTTATCTCTTTTGAGTTTGTTTGGATGCACAGGAACAGTGAATATTATACACTGTTAAATGTAACTAAAAGTCTATTTGGCAAGATTTTGTTACATTTATATTCGATACAGGCATCCCTGTGCTATATTCTTTGCGATCTTATTATTGTTATATATAGTTATTTTGTATCTTTGGGATACCACTCACCTAGTATACTATATTTCGTTGCAAAAACCGTTGGTTTTTGCATAGTGTTAGGAGAAGGATCCTGAAAACTTCTGAACAGGACTTCTTTTTGATTATTTTGATTATATAGATACATCTAGTGTGAGTTGGTTTTCCCTTTAGGACTTTAACCCTTAGGGTTCATTGTTTAATAATATATTTTGGTTTAATTTATAGCATACACTAATTTTAACTATACTATTAAAAGCTATATTTTATTTAGGGGCACTCATTGTCTCCTCTTTTGTGCTTTTACTACAGTTGTAGTCTTTAAAGGGTTAACCTCTAATTGAGTGCATCCCTTTGCTTCCAAATTTCCTCTTTATTTTTATGTAGAACATTCGCTCCCTGAGAGCCAGGGGGAGCGCCCCCGATTTCATCCACAGGACCTCCCAATAGTTGACCTGCAAAAGCCCCATATTTTCCAGAACAGTTTTTGGCAGGAACTTTGTTAGCTGCACAAACTTTACCCCGATGGCGATTTGTCATCTATTCATGGATCCAGGTGCAATTTAGCCATCATGGGTGCTCGGATCAGAGCTATCCAGAGATCTATGAGATGTGGGGTTAATGTGTGCGTTTACTATGTTTTTGGGGTGTTTTTGTGTTGTGTACTCTTTATCCAGGAGATAATTAGTTTAGCGAACAGCAACTCCATTATCTCCTAGACACAAAGGCACCTGGGTGAGATCAGTTACTGTTGAACAGAGTCTGTGTGTAAATGACCGTGCTGTGCCTAATAAAATCATATCTACTTCAAACATTAAGTTTAGACTAATGTATGGTGGGAAAGCTAAATAAGCTATACCAATGACCTACACTGGAAGGAACTATAACTCTAGGGGAAAGGGAATCCTTGGTGGTGATACTATGGTGGTCTGCCACACTGATCAATCCACATGCGAATATATACCTTAGATAACTGGTTTCTAAAAGGTTTCTAAAATTAATCATAAAAATGTTGATAAATAGCATGACATACTACTCTTTAGTAAATGTATAGAGTTCTACCATGACTCCTATGTATTGGAAACTTTAAGAGAAACTAAAATAAATGTGTATAAAATCTAAGAATATGTTTTAAATCACAAAGGTTAAAAATTGAACACTTTTTTTTTTTTGTAGCCAGTGAATAGTAAACGTATAAAAAGAAAAGAAAGACAGAATAATAAAAAAAGAAGACCCTGAACCCAGCCGCAGCTAAAGATGGAACCCTAAAGACTAGTGCTGAACTGTGCAAAGGTCTGGGGGAGTTGGGTGGCTGAACGGAAGGCCCATACTACTTACCGTTCTGGGGCGGAAGTCTCTACACAAAGGGTGTAGGCTGAATGACAAGCTCTCTCTCACACTCTAAGGTTTTAGGGACCACCACCCTGTCTAGCTAGGTATTAATTACTCTATTTTATTTTACTGTGAGCGTGCTCTAACAATAAATGAGGCATCAGAGGCACATCCATTGGTATATCTACTATATCTAGATAACATCTGTAACACCCACTATCTAGACTAGCTTTAGTTAAAATATCTTGTTTGTAATTGTGCAGTTGCCTAACCTGAATCACTCTGTTTCCTTTAAGCAATAATTTTGTGCTGTTATTATATGCCATGACATTGTCTTACACTGTTGACCTTAATGTACTTGCTCCTGCTGTCGTGGCATTCTAAAAGGTATATCATGTAAGTGGTATAAGAATTAATTCTGTTGTGCAGTTAAAATTTTGCTGCTATTATTGTGGTCAGAGGAGAAGTATGTATTGTGCTTCTTTTTACAGATATTGTTGCATGTGGAGTACCCCTTGTTGTTTTTGCCACATTTGTATGTTCCCTTGACTGGTAAAATCGTTTATTGTGGTGTTTTTACTTTATTGAGAATATTGCTAAGAGCTACTGTGTTTTTAATTGTTTTATTGCGTCAAAAAAACACTCTTGTTTTATTATCATTCTCAATTTTCATATGTTGATACTGGGATACTATCTACCAATGTTACAAGATGATTCTCTTGATATATTGATTGTACATGGTGACAAAGGTTGGTCATTTGTTGTTGTTTGTATAGGTTTTTGGACCCTGGAGATCTCTTTTGTTGTTGGGTTGTTTTTTTGGTTGTATGAGCTCTTCTCGTGCATCCTCAGTACTTCTACTTGGATAAACTTCAAATGGTGGTAGTTATAGTGTTTCTGGACTAATCGCTAAGTGAGATATCAAATTCTTCCTTTAGTTCTTGGTCCCTACTACGATTTTTCCTCACTATTATTTTATAATCTTTATTTACTATATACTGAATAAGGATTTCTTTCACTTGAAGATGACCTCGCCAAGCAATATCTACTGTATAAATACTGAATTTTGCTTTTATTTGTTAGTGGAAATTATTATACTCACCCTAAGGGTGTGTTTGGGTCCATGTAGGCATACTTTATTTCCAATTGGTTTTTTGACTGGGTACTTCTTGTTATCTATTGACTGCTACATTTATTTTATATGTTGCTTTGTGTAAATCTATACAATTTGTATTTAAATTGTGTTTTATATATCTGTTAGATTTTAAATACTATATTGATTGTCTCATTAAAATGTCATCTTATTTTATCTAGTCTGTAACGTTACATATATCTACTCTACAGCTTATTTAGGAGTAGCTGAAGGACTGCTTCCTTTTTGTAGCTGCAATAGACTTGTAATATTTTAAATTTTTCCTCATATTTTATACATTAGTTGATATTTTAAATAAAACCACACCTATCGTAATATTTGAGTTTTTATTATATACATTCTGACATCTGTGTGGATCCTAATACCCCTTTGCCTCCCAGCGTTCTTTCCCAGTATTGAAATAGTATAGATTTAGATCAATAATAAACAATTTTATTTTTTTTTTTTTTAAATTTTCCTTTGGCAGCCGGTCCAGGCAGATATTTGGTTAGACTGACCTGCATTTTTTATATTTTTATAAGACTGCCAGTCTTACTCCCTACTGTGCCACTTGAATTGACCGATTGTGTATCGATCGAAACCTCTGCTAACCGTGGCAATGACACAAGAGACATAAAATAAAGCCGCAGCGGCCCAGAGGAGGAGGCACCTTGAGATTAAATGCTGGGTTACCCTTCCTAGAACATCTTTGGATGGGTGGACCGACGGACGCATGCGCACACACACACACACACACACACCTTTACACATAATATAAATATTTATTTTACTTTCTTTTATTGTAACAAAATTTATCAAATGCAATAACTGCAACTTTCAATTACATAAAATTACTAATACACATACAAAATACTTAAACAAGTTTTAAAAAAATACAATAAAAATACTTTAAAAAGAATAAAAATTGTGCTTTATACCAAATTTCTTATCTATTTTCTATATCCCACAGCACACACCCATACAAGTTTCCGCTGAGACATGTGACAACGCTACTCTCCAATTCAATAACATCCATCCATTTATTTGACTTTCACATTACGTATGAGTTATTTTTACTAGTAGCCAATCCCATTTTACTTCGGTATAACGCTTGAGCCTAAATTTCCTTTAATTATGGAATGCTACAGCTTCGACAATTTCTCGCTAGTACCAACTTAGTGGCCATCAGAATATGTAGTTTAATAATATGGTTAGTGTAAAAAAATAAAATTAAAAAAAATCCAACAGTTTGCTGTTTGATTTACAATATTTATAGCCTTGATCCAATCCTCGGCTGATATCTCTCTATTCAGGTCTTTTCCCATACCTCTTTGGTATTAAAACTGTCGTCTAATTTTATTTCTGTGATCATATCTATGCACCTAGATATCAGCCCTCTTGAATTTGGACTATTGAGAATAGTTCTCAGACTTTTATTCCCCTCTATTATATTATCCTGTTGATGTTTTCCAGGAAATGTTTGATTTGAAAATAATAATACAGATAATGTAAGTTTTTGATGGTATAAAGCAATATATTTTTTTGTTTGATGTTATAAAATAGGAGAGCATGCTCTTTTTGATGTTCGAGCAGCTCCTGTAGTATAACTGAGACATGGCCATCTCTATCTTCCTTGTTGGGTGCCTCTATAGTACTTTCATTCCTGACATTTAGGGATAGTGAAAGACAGGCCACTGATGACATAGTTTTCAGTTACTTCCCCGTGGTGCCTGTCTCTGGTGTCTGCAATATGAAGGGAGATGTAATTAGTTTAGCATCATATGGCATTGTCTACTTCTTACATATAAATA